TATGGGGCAGTTCTACTCTGTCCTATAGGGTCGCTATGAGTCAGAATTGACTCGACCACAATGGGTTTGGTTTTTTAATGTGATTTCGTAGGAAAAGCAAAAGGGTTGTGAGTAAATGGATCTGAAATTCAGACCCAGTCAATTGCCACTTTGTTGGTGTAAAGTTAAAGTTCATTAATTCAACACGTTTACTGAGCATTCACTATGCCAGGCAGAGCTCTGGGGCTGGGGGCTGGGGCCTCTGTTGAGAGAGAAAGAGACACCTCCCCAGCCTCCAGAGGCTTAGGACCTAGTGAAGAGAAAGACAATGAATGAGGAAAAATTAAAAACTCATGAGAAGGAACACGGAAGTAGGAGAGAGTTAAACAGAGGCACATAATGCAAGCTGCTGGGATTAGAGAAGGCTGCCTTCACAAGTGACATCTGAGCTAAGATCTGGGGTTAACTAAGTGTTTTTCCATTTCTCAGTTTCCTCATCTCTCTCATGAATGAATCTGTGGAGAATGACTGAAATATCTTCTGTCTTCCTGTGGGGGATGTAAGCATCCCCCACAGTCCTGTCCTTGGCCCCGTCTCTTCTCTCTATACTCTTGGCTTTAGTCATTGCATCTACTTCAGTGGCTTCAACCAAAACATCTCGGCCTCAGGAGGGGTGAGGAGGGCTGGTAATAGGGAACCCAAGGTCGAGAAGGGAGAGTGTTGACATGTCATGGGTTTGGTAACCAATGTCACAAAACCATATATGTACTAACTGTTTAATGAGAAGCTAGTTTGTTCTGCAAACCTTCATCTAAAGTACAATTAAAAAAAATCTTGGTCTTACACATCTGTAACCCCAACTTCTTCTTTACATTTTCAATGGCTAGACTTCTCTTCCTGACTGAACACCTCCAACTCTAGATGTCCCATCTTTTCTCAAAACCTACTCTTTTCATTTCCCTATTTTTGCCAACACCATCGCCATATTCCCAGTCACTTGATACACATCCCTCTGTGAGTAAAAAATTGTCAGTGGACGTTCATTGACCACAGGAGGAGATAAACCTTTTAGAATGACATACAGGCCCCCATGCATCCTGACTGCTGTTTCTGGCTTTGTCTCCCACCAGCACCCACAACCCTTCACACTGAAGTTCTTACTTCTTTGGTTATTACTGGTTTAACAGCATACCAGCCACTTTTTAGGCCTCTGGACCTCATAGGCAGGATACTATTTTGGGTCTAGTGCATTTAGCGTCAAGGTGTGTCCCTTTTGAAAAGTGTGAAGCTCAGCAAATCGGAGTTGAGACAAGACTTGCAAGCATAATTATGGCTTTCCTGTGTGATAGTTAGGGAGCCCTGATGGGTTTGTTTTGGTTTTTCTGCGTCATATTTGGAAAACCAGAGGTTCCCCATGTAACTAGTGGAAAGGTACCTGCAATAAATTCTTTATTTCATTATTATTGGTATATTGTCCTACCACAGATCGGTGGTGCCAGAGTGCCACTTGCCTTATTGGCTTGTATTACCAGATCGTATTTCTCAAAATCCATATTACCAACCAGAAATTTAAACACACTCAATTAGTAAGGGTGCATTCCAATACTGAAAACACATGCCATCGAAAAAAAATTTTTTAAGCAAAAATTTGGTAATGAAAGGGTATTAAGGTTTCTCAAACAAACCATCATGTTCTTTCACATATTGGTGATTTTACATCAACCGTTCCTTAGCTCTTAGCTCAGAGCCCTGGTGGCGCAGTGGTTAAGAACTTGGCTGCTAAGCAAAAAGTCGGCAGTTCAAATTCACCTGCTGCTCCTTGGAAGCACTATGGGATCAGTTCTACTCTGTCCTATAGGGTCGCTATGAGCTGGAGTGGACTCGATGGCAACAGGTTTTTTTTTGTTTTTTTTTTTTTGGTTCCTTAGCTTAAAATGCTTTCTTCATCTAGTCTTCTGGTGAATTCATATTCATCTTAGTCCCTGGGGATGCAAATGGTTAAACACTTCACTAATAGCCAAAAGGTTGGCAGTTTGAACCTACCCAGATACATCTCTGAAGGCAGGCCTGGAAATCTGCTTCTGAAAGGTTATAGCCTTGAAAACCTTGTGGAGCAGTTATACTCTGCATACATGGGCCACCATGAGTCAGAATCAACTCGACAGCAACTAACGACAATAGTAACAAGACCTAGTTCAAATGTCACCTCTTCTATGAAGCCTTCCCAGATTTTCTCAGGCAGAATTTAACATTCTCCTCTATCACCTTCCCTAGAACTTGTACATGGGCTACTAAAGCATCTATCCTAGGTCATTAGCATTAATTATTCATCAGGAATCAAGGGTGGCCGCTCTGTATAATTCGTGTTTTATTCTCTTTAGGGCAGGATGTGAGATAGATAATAAATGTGCATTTAATGACTAAACAATGAATCAATGAATGGCCCCTCTTGTGGCATGTACCACTTTCTACCTTGTATTGTCTTTGTTTGAGTATACTATCTCCCTTCTTAGATTAACAGGTCTTCCAGAGCAAGAACAATGTAACCCATCTGTGCATCCCCAATCACAGTCTTCACCACCCATCTGTCAGTTTGCCATTCTGTGGTGGCTTGTGTGTTGCTATGATGCTGGAAGCTATGCCACAGGTATTTCAAATACCCGCAGGGTCACGCATGGTGGACATGCTTCAGCAGAGCTTCCTGACTAAGACAGACTAGGAAGAAAGGCCCAGTGATCTACTTCCAAAAATTAGTCAATGAAAACCCTAAGGGTTACTACCAAATATTGTCTTATATAGTGCTGGAAGATGAGACCCCTAAGCTGGAAGGCACTCAAAATACACAGTGGCTGCAACAATAGACTCAAGTATGCCAGCAATCGTGAGGATGGCATGGGACCGGGAAACATTTGACTCTATTGTACATGGGTCGCCATGAGTTGGAGCCGACTCAACAACTAACAATAGCACCACAACAGTCTACCCTGATGCCTACTGTTTGAAATAATGTGTAAAACTCTTGTGGGACCTGGTGACATATTTCAGACTTTGTAAAGCTATTTCACACATATTGTTTCACTTGCCCTTCTCAATAACCCTGTAGTCTAGGTATGACTAATTGGTGTTATCCCTATGCAGCAGATAAAGCAATTAAGTAAGGAATCCTTGGAATCCTGCTTTCTTGGTTTAGAGCAATGTTTACTCCGTGTAATGTTCTTGAGAAAAGACAGATCTACTCATCAATCCTTTGGTTTTGATCAGAGTTTGGGGATGAATCTAGAGGTTCACCAGTGCTCTGTAAAAAAAAACAATCTCAATCCTTATCTACCCCTCCTGAACGTGTCTAATATGAATTACTTGAGTGAGCATGAAGGTTTAGAGTATGAATAAGAGAGGGCAAAATAAAGGGGGAGGGGATGGAAGAATCTGAACACATACTTTGAGCAAGAAAAAGACTTTAGGGGCCTGAAAAGAGACCTTTCAGCTTCCATAAGATGGAGTGCTGTGCGTGGCACCATTGAGAGGTACTTGGTTTCTAAAACATCTAGATAGGTATCCTTTTAAATCCAAGTTCCTTTAGGAGAGATGTTAAAAATACTGAAGGAAAACTGAATCTACACAGCCTTGTCCGACCTCAGCCTGCCACTTGTTTCAAAGGTCGTACTTAACTGCTCTGTGTTAGAAATATTTTCCAAATTGTATATATAGAGATCTAGCGAGCAAGGTTGCTTTGGGCTGGCAACTCCTACAGAAATGGTCATCACACACATCTGGGCAGCCCCCCACCCCCGGAACCTCATGCTCTCCCCCTCCCCACCTAGCCCCCTGCTCCTAGAGCCCAGGGGTTGTGCTTTATGCATCTATGTACCTGCAGCACCGGGCATAGAGCCTGGCATGGGATGGATGAGTTTATGAGGGCCAACTAGACAAAAGCAGACCCTCCTCACTGTAGCCTGAGATCTGATCTAAAGGTGAGGAAGGTTGGGGTTGGGGGAGTCGCACAGGACCAGGGTTAATACCCAACATCAAATGCCATGGTTTCTTCATCCAGCACAGGAGCAGAACTGCTCTCTGCTCCTGAAGGTTAAAGAGGCTACTTGAGATCTGGTCAGGTCAGTTCGTAGACAACACAGCCGTGGGTTCTGGCGGTGTCCTATTGACTGCTCAAGCACCAGGAGGTGTGGGAGTTTGTGTTGGACAGGCTGTTCTGGTAGCACTGCTTACTCCCACTGACTCCACCCTGGATGACCTGTCTGACATCCTCAGAGAAGGGTTCTCCCGCTGACCCATCCCTCCTTCTGACTCCTGACTTTGGGGACCCTGCATGCACACAGCCCCTTGTGTTGGAGAGGGGAGTCTCTGTCCTCCTCCCTGCCAGTCTCTCCACACTAGCCCTGATGGGTGGCTTGACCATCCTGCGTGGGGATGGTAGGGCGGGAGGCATTTGCCAAGAAGGCTCTGCAGCCCCAGGTAGACCCATGACAATTAGGCAACCGCAGAGAATCAGGGTCAGGAACGTCTTGTCCAGGGTCCAATCTTTCCTTCTGTGCCAGGAGCTGTTCAAGGTCGCATTCCAGGTGACAGCATAACAACGCGTTGTGGCGCATGCAAATGAGGGTGCAGAGTGTGGAGGTCAAGTTAGAGCCAAGGACTGAACTTTGAGCCACCCTTCAGTAGCAGTCCCTTCACCTCCCACGTGCCCTTTCGCCATGCAGGGAAGAATCCAGCAAGCGCAGGCATGTTAGCCATTGGGGTAAAGGGGGAGTTCGAAGTCTGGCCCCAGACCTTCAGCAGACTTCCAGCCTCAGGCTTCTGTGCAGGAACACACCAAATCGTTCCCCCAGGGGAGGGTTCGTGGCCTGGTGCTCTGGACTCGCTCGATCCCCGCCCGTGAACTGAGAGTCTAGGGGCTCCCGGGGGCACCCCCTGCAGCACGGATGCCCTGCGCGCCTCCCCAGACAGCCACCTGTCCGAGCGCAGGAGGAGGAAAGGAGAGAGCGCAGAGGCGCGCAGCAACTGACCTGAGATGCCGCCCCCCACCACGACCACGTCGCATTTGCTGCTCATGGCGCTCGCCCTGCTCTGGGCCGCTCCGGTGCCCGCTGCTGTGGTCTCGGACTCGGCCCCCGCCCGCTGCTCGCTACCACGCGCACTCGCGCCTCTGCGGAGCGGCTATAGGGCCGGCCCCCGGCGCCTGGAAG